CTCAGAATCGTTTACCCCGCTCCCTCCCACAACCACATTCGAGATCCATTTCTGATTCTTGAGGATGTAAAGATCAGTTCTGTACAGCTTTGGGATGACCAGCTCTTTATCGAAGCCCCCTCTGTTCTGAGTCTAGTACAATGTCTGACTGTTGACACCAGGACCTGTGGATAAGGCTCGGCCCAGAGGCTCAGGAGGGAAGGGGAATGGGAGGTCTGAGGGCGCATGGCAGGGAACCCCAAAGCTGTGCTCCTGGGAGACTCCAGCAGTCTGCCCACCTCATGGGAAGGGCGCTGCACCCGGTTTCTCACCCCTCCCTGATACAAGCGGCCTTCACAGGTGGAGGACAAGCAGGTCCTCTCTCCGCGGCAGTGCACGGCATTCGCATGGGTTGTGTTAGTTCCAAGTCTCCTAAATCTGACTTTCTGTGTGCCCTAAACTTATCTGGGGCTCCATGGCACAGAAATGAGTGTGAGGTAGCAGAATCCATGGAGGCCCCGATGGGAGGGTCGGTCCGTCACAATGCGCTCCTCATGGTCAGAAGGAGGCCACCGAGAGACATGGGGACCGACAGCCAGGAGCATTCTCAAGGCGTCCTCTGCTCTTGGTCTCAAAGACGGAATCCAGTCCTCGGGTAATAGCCATTTTTCTTTCAAAACTGCCATCCGCTCTGGTAGAGAAGGCACGACTGCCCCGGGCAGAGGCTCGAGGCGCGAGCACAGCTCAGGGTGGAGGGAGGCAGGCGGCCCAGCCCCCGGCTCCTCATCTCTGGATCAGGACAATCAGATCAACCAGGAGTCCTTTCTCCTGGATCAACCTGTCTCTACTCCTCAGACCTGAGAGGAGCCGTGCTCCTGTGTTTATACCACAGAAACACAAAGTGTTCATCATCTGTCTGTCGGATAAAACCCTGAGCACACACTGAAGAGAAGAGGCCCCGGGACCAAGTCAACGGAAGACGGTCCCCGTCACCGGGAGCCACAGCCAGCCGTGAGCCGTGGGCCCCCATGAAGAGCAGCGGAGACTCATGCACCCTTGCTTCTTACGGGACTTCCTGCGTGTGCACCCAACAGCGGGCAGGTGCCCTGCGTCCAGGCTCTGCCGAGGGCAGCTCAGGGCACCAACAGGCCCGGCCAGGCTGCAGCCGTGTTCCTAAGAAGGCTCTCGTACACTCCTGAAATGCAGAGTGAAGAGAGCAAAGGTGAGCTCTCGAGGACCCCGGCTTCTCCCTCCGCGTGCTGGGCATGTGGGCGGACACACATGCACAGACCCTCAGGTGTCGGGCGGGAAAAGAACGGTCCCCAACAGCTCGTCCCTCTCTTCACTGACTGGGATCTCCGAGTCGGAGCACTTAGACTGCAGAGAACATCCTGGGATCTCTCTCTGCGCCATGCAAAGCGCACTCTTCCGCCCCCAGAAGCGCGGCAGGGTTGCACACAGAGCAAGCCAGGTGGCCTGGGGGAAGAGCACCTGGGAAGTCAGCCGACCCCTGCAGCTGGGTGGACTCGGCCTGAGGGAGCTGTCGGTGGAGGGGCCTTGAGAGGCCCTCTCAGTGAGGGGCACGTGGGGGCCACCGTCAACACCGGGGCCCCTCTACCTGGAAAGCTTGTTTCCCCTCTGAATCTCACCAGTGATTTGAAACCACTGGTCAACATGTAAGGCGCCAGGCCTGCGGTCAGTCTGCAGTTAGAGTTTGCTGCTACCTGCTGATTCCAAGTCACGGTCAGGTCACCAGACTCTTCTGTTCCACCAAAGACCACGCTAACGTCTACCCTGCGGGGTTTGCGAGACTCAGATAGGAAGGTGTGACAGTGTAATAGGGTCCCCAGGTGGGAGCTGTTATTGGCAGGTGGGCTCCTCGAAGAAGGAGACCCAGGGCAGTCCTGGGTGCCTGGTGCCTCTCTCCTGAAGACCTGCCAGCAGCTGGGTCCTGGCCCCTGGCCTCTGAGGCACTAATAAGGACTCAGACACCAGAACACCAGAGGGCCCCACTTGACATCTGGGTATCTATTTTCACAACATTTTATTATCGTCCTAAAGGTCACTAGCTAATTACATGACTAAATGACTTTTGAAGTTTGCGCTACATAAATTTTGAAATGTAATCATGTAAATAAAATAGAAAACCCCATTTCAGACAGTGTGGCTTGATTATTGCTCTGAAAATGGTCGGGTTAGTCATAACTGTATTCTATCTGTAGTATCTAAATCAGGGTTTCTGACGGCTACCGTCACCAGCAAATTGCTATCTCCAAAAGCCTGGCATGTCCCTGCTGGCTGCCAAGAGCCACCGGCAGAGCCAGGGGAGAACCTTTCTAAAGTGCCCAACTGCAAGATGCTGCTTATGAATGGCCTGTCCCCAACCCAGAGGCTGGTGGCCTGAGGAGTTGGCCTTGCTGGCTTTACCATAAGATGCCCCCAAGGACTTCAGGGGCATCTAAGGCTTCATTTCCCAGGGTTTCAGTCAACTCTTGCCCAGAAATATTGAGTGGAAAATTCCGGAGATGAGCGGGTCGTAAGTTCTAAGTGGTCTGACCTTCCAAGGACGGTGAGGAGATGTCCTGCCTCCCACCCATCCCGCCCGGCACATGGCTTGTCTCTTGGTCCAGCACATCCACCCGGTATCTGCTACCTCCGCCCGAGTCATGCCGTCACCATCTCAGCCATCAAATCTGCGTTCCACAGGACACGGGTTTCCAAGTCACCCTGTTCTATCTGATAACGTCCCAAAGGGGAGGAGCAGTGGTGCTGGCCTCCGATATTCCCAGAGAAGCCCTCAAGTGCTCCCACCAAGAGGCACGAGGAACAAGCATCCAATAAGGTGTTTTGAGGGGGAGAGACCACATTACTCATATGGCATTTATTACAGTATTTTATTGTAATTGTTCTACTTTTATTTGTAGTTATTAATGCTAAATCTTACTTTGTCAAGTGTATAAGTTAAACTCTATCACAGGTCCGTGTCCACAGGAAGCCATGCAGTCCATGCGGTGCAGATTCAGTACTGTCCTGAAGACAGGGCCACTGTCCCCACCAACAAGCGGGCTGCCTAGGCCTGCTCTACCGCGTCGGCTGGTTTGCTTAGGTCTCCTGAATCGGCTGGAGGGTGGCAGTCAGGCTGTGGCCGTGCGACTGTTCAGGTCCAGCCTCTGATCTCAGGCTTGGCCTCTGGCCCAGCAAACCACACCCCACGGGTGGACCACCTGCCTCTGTACAGAGGGACCGGCTCCCTTCTTCACATCTCGCCATGACTGCTTCTGTGCTCTCTGGGACAGAGAAGAAGGTGGACATTCAGAACCAGTGGGCGTAGAGTCGAGTCATTTCCACAGGGAACACGTGGCACACGAGCATTAAGTATTCACTCGCTGTCCCTCAGAGAGACAGGAACTTAGGGACACAGAGAGAACACCGAGTCTCCAAAGAGAATCACCAGAATTCAGAACGGACAGCTCATGTGCCCTGTGCCAGTCCTTGTCCTCTGCTTGCGTCCGACTGAGGGAAGAGCAACAAGATGGCCACAGGGCACCTGGAGGAACCGCTCCTTTAGGGGGAGCCTCCCAGGTGGAGAGCCAAGGTGCTAAAGAGGCCTGTAGATAGAAACGGGCGTGGCTAGAACGTGGGAGGACGTGTGCAAATACAGGAAGACTCCCCAAGCTGCAGCCACCCGGTGACACTCTAGTGGCCCCTCTATAGACGTTGAGCCCCAGGCAGAGACCAGGCGGCTTTCTGAAATCACCTGTGCTCCATTCTCAAGCGCCACTGTTCCTCCTGATAACTCTCTTGCTCTGCCACTCACGCCTGATACATCCTTAAATTCCTTACTCCATGGTCAAGAACCTGGAAGCCCGAGAAGACCCCCTGTGGCGACTCGAACAGCCCCCCTCCACCCCCAAGGCACCAGCCTCACCTGCAGGGTTGAGGCTGGGGTGCAGCAAGGTCTTTGTTCTAGGACAGAGAAGAACATTCAGAACCAGTGGGAGTACGATGGTCGCAATGTGTGCATCATCTCCACTGTCCAGTCCATTCCAGTCTGCCACGTGTCCCTAGCTGCAGGAAAGCAGAGAAAAGAAGTCCCTATGTGGACAGCCATGAGCTTAGCTGCCACCTAAAGAGCTCAGTCTCCCAAAGAAAGGGGAGAGCAAATCACATTTCCAACCAGCACTAGAAGGTATAAAGAACTCAGGAAATCACTTCTCTGTCTCCACAACAAACAATGCAGTTAGAAAATGAGCGAAAGATGTGAACAGACACTTCACTAGAGAGGATGCTCCACCCCGTCAGCAGCTGGCAAAACAGAGATCACAGCCGCGGAGCCATCAGCGCACACTTACCTGAGTGGCTCAACATTAAGTAGTGACACCAGCAAGTGCTGGAGGGGCTGTGGGGACCTGGCCTCCCGACACTCGTGGTGAGAACACAGAACGGTAGAACCCTCTGCAGAGCAGGCTCTCACGGAATTCAGCAGGTGCACCACCCCACCCAGGAATGTCACCCAGGGCATCGATCCTGGAGAAATGGACAGACACTCGTCTTCCTCAAAACCTAGCACACAAATGCTGACGGCCAAGCCTCGGCAACACTGGCAACCAGTGAGTGGGTGGCTGGACAAACTGCCCCCACACCGGGGCGCCCAGCTCAGCAAGAACCTCATCATCAGTACACGCAGCGGAGGCCAGGGTCTCAAGGAGGTGGTGCCGATTTTCAAAAAGCCCATCCTAAAAGGTTGCAGACTGTGTGAGTCCACATACAGAACAGTCTCGAAATGCAAAACTAGAGAAAGGAAACCAGACTGGTGGTGAGCAGGGATCAGGGTGGAGGGATGGGAGTGTGACTGTAAGAAGAGCAACTCCAAGGACATGGAGGCACCGCTCGGTGTCTCGAAGCACACACAAAGGAGCCAATTAAAACCCAGGAATCTTACATGGAAAGAGGAAGGAGGGGAGGAGTGGGGGAGGCCTAGGGTCTGCACACAGGCGCCATTGTTCTGGAGCAGGGACAGGAAGAACACGCTCATCGCTATGCCCTCTCTTCTGGCCAGTTCCTCTCCCGAAACTGCTGCATGACATGAAAATACCAGCATGTGACAGCGAGTATCTCATCCACCCTCCCAAAAAAGGAGAAGCAAGGAGAACAGCAGCTGTTTCTTTGCCAGTTAAATAAGGAATTTTTATTATCCCATAAGAACTCCCCAGGGAAAAGATTAGGGAATTGGAGATAAACTCATTCTTATCAGATAACAAAACAATAAGCCGAACACTTGAGGGCTCTAACAGAGCAAATAACAATGAGGTTATTTATTCCTTGTGAAACTTGGTTGCATGGAGCATTTAAATTGCAAGAGGGATTCTTGGAAGCAGCAAACATGAACTCTTTTATTCATCTGAGCTTCCTGCGGCAACAGGCCTCCCACAGCCACGAACGACCCAGAGGAGTGAGAGTCTGGGGTACAGACTGGGAAAGGACCTCTGCTCTTGGGGTGCAGCCTCTCCATGGCCAGCCTGGGGGGTGGCACCGCCTGGGAGGGATCATTTCACTGCCCGTCCATGGGCCATGCACATCAAGCGAACCGTCCCCTCTGAATGTCACTGGAGGCTGGAGGGGTGCAGGCGTGCTGTCCTCGGCTCCCGCGAGGGGCAGTCAGGGTTCCACTGAGGTAAGCAGGGGGCTGGATTCCTCCGGAGACTGCGCCTAACCCCTGCATCAGGAGCCAGAGGGGCAGGGAGGGCTCACGGCTCTGGAACCGTCCCTTCTGCTCTGTGTCTTCTTTTTGCACAGCAAGGCACTATTCACACGCACCGTACTTCCAGTGCTCCGGAACATTCTCCAGGTTAGAGTGCATGTCTCTGTCTCCGTGAGGCAGAGGCCTGAGGTGGGCCTGGTAAAAGGACTCCTCCCGTGGGGCCCAACAAGGGAGAGGACCCTGCTGTCCTGCTTCTCTCCTGCGTCCCTCAGGTGGGTGCCAAACAGCATGAGGCAGGCTTCATGGGGGTGGGACCAGGCAGGGCTGGAGCTCAGGGATCAGGTGACACCCGACTGACATCACCGATTCTCCCACCTTCGAGTCTGGAGGGCCCGTGAGATCCCCAGTGTGGCCCATCACACTGGTCAGGGTGAGCAGCCTGAGCTCTGTTTACCCCCTGCCTCCTCTGGCTCTGGGCTATTTTATTAGAGGGTTTCACTCAGAAAATGCTGCTCACATCATTAGGTAATTGACTACCATCTGTCTAGTCAAGGCTTTTAAGGTTTGTTAGACAGCAGCAGCACCCACAAGGCCGTTAACGTGGTCTCTGGTTCAGGAGATCAGCATGAGGCCCACGAATTCACCTTTCTAACAAGTTCCCAGCTGCTGCTGCTGCTGCTGTCTGGGAACCACATTTTGCAAGCCACTTGCAACCCTCTTCCTCAACTGTCCCCTCTCCTCCCGCCTAACTCTTGGTCGCGCAGGACGTGACGTTTGGTGAGGCGGAACTCCATTTTCCCTGACCTGGCAACTCAGCACCGCTGCTCTGTGTGGGTGGAGCCAGCAAGTTCTTTTGACAGAATTTTATTAAAGAAAAGTCTCTTCTAGCAGCTTCCTTCTTGGTTTCGTAACCCCCAAACCAGGAGGCGTTCAGGTGAGAGGCAAACGGCTCTGGGGCCTGGTGCTCTCCTGGGTCCTCTGGGTGTGCAGACCTCTGGGTGGGGGGTTTGTGTGAGGATCCTAGGGTCTGTCCATGGTTTCCCTCTGTGCCGGGACCTCTGCTCAGGGCTGAAGTCAAGCTGTGGGTTGGGGGCAGTCCTATTGGAGCTCAAGGTCACCTTCCTAGGACGTTGGCAGGAGTTGGCTTCTAGACCCTGGAGGATGAGGCCTCTGCTCTCCTGCTGGGTGGTGCCAGGTGCGCCCTCAGCTGCTAGAGCCACCTGTGCCTCCCCCAGGCCTCTCCCACCTGCTCCCTGAGGGCAGGGAAGTCCCTCAGTGCCCCTCTGACCTCTTCTATAGGCTTCTCCAGGACCACCTCCTTCTGGTCCCCTTGGCCAAGTGGTGGCCTCCTGGTCAGGAACGCGACACACCTTCACAGTCATCAGTCACTCAAGCAGAGAGGATTGTGCAGGGCTGAGTCTGGGAGGGCAGGGAGGGGGAGCAAAGGCGAAGCTCAGGGCCAGGTGTGTAAACCTTCCTTCTTTTTAGGTACACGTGGCAGTGGACTGTTCTCAC